TGGCGGACGCAGGACACGAAATGCGTTTTGTGCCTTAATTAACCCTTTTTAAATTGGGCATAATTAGGGTGGTGCAGCTGCACTGAAAGAAAATGTCTGTACATTATTACAGAGTTATGCTATGATTATTAAATGCAGAATGATTAAACAAAACTTAATGACATCTTATCAATTAGGAATTCTTTGAGCAACATTATCCGATAATTTATAAATATCGGAACCTAAACGGCTAAACAATTTTGTCGAGTGCCTCTGACATCCTTCGCCTCATCATTATATCATTCACATTCGTTAATATTTTCGAAATATTTTCGCGTAATTTGTTGATATCAATTTACACACAGCCGCCCTTCAGTCCTGCCCATAATTATATCATTTCGGTTGATCGATGCGCATCGCTCCTCCGCCAGCCCCATATGTACACTACATATCGGGGCCATAATGGGATGCCGCAGATTCCGGACAGATTTCCCATTGTTCTCGATATGAGCGTTATTTAGTTGCTGGCAGTGTAGGACGCTCAGCTCATTACTGCTGGGCTCCAGTTAGATGACTTTGAGAGGAGGAACCCCATTCAGCACAGCGGGTGTGCCCCGTACCATATGTAATTAAAGATTCCCCACCAATGGATCCCAGTCTTGTTCTCTGTCGCATGAGCCAGACATAAATGGTTTGATTTGGTGGCAGCAGCCCCATCTCGAGATCCTCCCATTCCATCACAAGTCGTCTGCTCCATCGCCTTCGGGCATCGATAGCGATACCGAGAGTATTTAAAGCAACTTTCACACTACACTCAATTGTCTGTTTTAGGGCCAAGCTCCCTAAAAGGCCAAAACAAGCGCAAACCCAACAGGCCAGTGCAAAAACTAAGAAACTTATAAAATCAAGTCGCCGCTCCGCAAGCTGCTATTTGAGCAGTCGGATACCCTGTAAAGTCATTTATCATGTGTGCATTTGCTATTTTACGGATTTCTATATGTGTTACTCGCCCAAAGGGCTTATTTTTCCATCTATCTTCGTCTTAGAAATTGCTAATTTGCGTAACAGGGTATTATCTCTAACTAAACATAGGTATCTTTCACCAGTTCTTGCTCGCATGCTGCACAAATTTGGACACATGTTGCATGCTAAGAACGAACAACGTGAAAGGATGCTTTTTGCCCCGTTTCCGATGCCAACTCGATCCCGCAAACGCCAATAATTTATAATGCGGACAATAAAATGTTATCACACAAAAAGCATATATACAAACAAGCCAAAGGGGAATCTGCGCAATCGGGGCCAAAAGAAGGGACAATCGAGAGTCGACAGGCTGAACTAAATGCCGCACGCCTGCGCATTATGAGCACAGTAAACTCGGCAAAAAAAGTACAAAATGAGTAAAATGGTGGAGGGGGAGGGGGAGGGGGAGCAGGCTCCGATGATATATGAAATCATATAACAGCAATCGGCAGGCCAGTACAACATCGCATAAAGTGTGTGTAGTTTATTAAGCGCGCCAGGAAAATGACACAAAAACCACATTGGCCAACTTAGTTGTTGTGGCTCTGCGCCTTTATAATTTATGGGCCTTCAGCGAGTTGGCTTAGAGAATTTGCCACAGTTTATTTATGAGGCACACAGCCCGGCGAGAGATCAATGCCTCAATAGAAATGGAAATGAAGTCAACTCCAGCAGATTGGAGGTGCAAAACAATCGAAAGACGAAAGAACCGCACGAATTAGCAAGAGAAGATATGGATCCTTTATATAATTTCATTAGGGGAAATGGTTGAATATTCCGATTGGTAGCAAAATAAAAAGTAGAGAAATGAGACTAAAAATTTCGCCATTTATACTTCAATTAAATAAATTCACGTAGGTGAGGAGGCGATAAAAATCGAAAAATTAATTAAAAAATATTAATTGATTAGCCATAAATACTTCGCAGACATTCGAGGACGTTCGCATTAAATCAAATAAATTTAATCGCAACATTTCATTCCGCCGTAAATCACTGTTCTATTAAAACATCGTAAATCAAATCCATAAAATTTACAATAATTGAGTCCGTGGCCGATAATCAAAAGCTGCTCCCTCCTTTACTTTTGCATTCCAGTAAAGCACCTTGGTCACATGATATTCGAAACAAAGGAAAAACAAAGAACAGAATAAATAAATAAGCCAAAGCCATATTTAAATAATTCGGCGAGGCATTCAATCTATATTTAAAGCGAAAATTGATCATAAAGTTTGCAAGGCACGTTTCGAAATTAAATCATTTTAGTTGAGCATAAGCAAAGGCTTCGTGCAGTAAAAACAAAACAGAGACCACAAAAAAATCATCAAATCTGCGGCCATCTCGGCTTTTAAATGATTTTTATAACACTTCTACGCGGCAGTTTTTCAATAAAACAAAAAAAATCAATGAATTTTATGGCGTGGCAAAAATTTAATGACATCAATCGAACTCCCTCCCCATTGTTTCGCTTTTCTAATATACAAAAAGGCTTTAATGGATTTTTGTTCGCCTCTATTCGGTTTTGTATTTCCATTTATTTAGGCATATAAACGTTACCATAAAAACAACAAACACAGACTCCCTGAAAGCGTGTTAAAAGTAGACTAATGGGTTTTAATTTCAGCCAACGAACCTTGTAAAATGTCAGGGTTTTCTTCCCCCTGCAAAAAGCGAGGGAAAAGTCAACCAAGTAATTGAATAATTGTATGCCGGCCAACGTGTGAGTGTGAGTGTTTGATGAACTTTCTCCGCCGTTCATTCAAAATTAAATCACTTTACGCACTTTAGGCTCCGCCTTTCCAGAGCCTCGATAGCGCAGTTCCGAGATTTTATCTCCATTCAAAGCGGCGCCTTAAACAAACAACAATTTGCCCGTTTTTTGTATTTTTCTATTTTGTCTACACACAAACGCATGTATCTCGAAGATACATTTGCGTGCCAATGGCGTAATTTACCACTTAACATATCAATTGTGCGGCTATTAATCAAACAACAGACGAGCCGGGGCTTGGGGCCTCTGACTCTGGATTCCTGCTTTGATTTGTACGCATCGGTTGTCAAACAAGTGAGACAAAGGCTGAAAAGATTTATAAAACTCCACGCACAATATACTCGAAAAATCTGCGGATCAATCTAGGATTTGAAACGTTTCATTTGGGCACTTTACACAGATTCCTCAACATTATTGAAGGCACAGAATTTGCTTAGGTAGCTTATTTTTATTCATTTCATTTAATATTAGTTTCAGAAATTATTTCATTATTATTATAATCGAACTAAAGTTTTCAAATAAATACGTTTTTCCAAGTGCACCAACAGATACTTCTCATATCGCAAACGTCCATCAAAGTCCACAAGCAGCGAGTCAAATCATAATAGGAGCATAAAGAGTAGAATTTTTAACACCTCACTCCTCCGCACTGGGGCTCTTTTGTTCTGCGCCCTGGATACAGTGGCCCCCCCTCGTCCGCTTTTTATTTCACTTAGTTTTGTTCAACCCGGTCTCATTGGCAGTTGGACATCCCATCAGAGGGCGATCGATCGATAAATGCTGCGGCATTCCTCCGGCATTCGCCCCGAAAACTATTCCATTGAGGCTGTCAGATGACGCCGTCTAATTGCTTTTGTTTGCTCCACTAAGGTGCCTAACGAACTCGAGTGCACGGAGCCACAGAAAATATAACAACTCAATTCGAAAAGCGAAACAAATATCTCGAACTCCTTCACTTGATAGCTGGCGATGAGGCTGCGGAGTGGCGGGAAAACACTTAAGCGCCAAAGTGTATCTTTGATCTTTTCGAGATGAAGAACTGACCCACTCGACTGCTGTTGATGGCCGATTTTTGGGGCAAAGGGGCTTGGAATTGGGGCTTTGGAGCGCTGCATTATTCGCCAGGTAGTTCTTAAGGCTTCGCAACAGGACAGGTGAGCTAGTGGTTTCCATGTACTAAGTAGTTTCTAGGTATCTTGGACAATTGATTATAAATACAAATTATTTGTCACCTATAACATAAAAGTCACTATGGTTAATAAATCTCATAACAATATGTATATTCTGGTATATTATCAAAATGTTACAAGCAATTATTTCAAAAACTCTCTTAAATTTATATACTTTATTTGTTTTATTTTTTTTTGGGAAGGCATGTGAAATATAATATAAACGGAACAGCATTTTGCATTTTTGTAGCCCCTTGTGTAGCATAGAGAAAGTATTTTAATATGCAAACGAATCTTAAAGATAATGCACTTTATAAATGTATTTATTTCGTAAACGAAATCTACAAAAAAGGAGCAAATTATTAAAAACTATTTTTATTCCTTAACAGAAATTCCCATTATCTACATTTCAGCCGATTTTTACGCAGAAATTCGTGCGACACCTAGCGCCTGGCAGCTGAAACCCTACATTCTACATGTGCAACCTACACACTTTGTACACCCTCTTAACATGTTGCATACTTTAGGGATAAAACCATTATTACAGCATTACACATTTTGTAATTATATCCCACGTAAAATATATGTAAGATATAAAGGCTGATCATAAAAAAGAATAAAGTTTTGGCTTATATATGATTTATTTTAATTTTTTCCTCATTTGTTCCAGGCTTACGCCCGCTAACCGCTCATTACTGTCACGCCTTTAACAAAGTTTAAAAAGTTATTTCCCTTTTCCCTATTTTATTATTTGGTTGCCATTTACTACCGATATTTTAAGAAATTTCTTCCATGCACTACTAATTACTGAGTAATAGGTATCTGATAGTCCAGAAAAGCGACTATAGTGTTTTTATACACGTCTCATAAAAGTTTTTTTAAGTGTTATCTTTTACGATTAAAGTTGTTGAATCGTTAAACAAAAACCACATTTTTAGCTACTTACGATAAATGATTGTGGCAAAAAAAGGAGATTGTTAAAACCATTACAAAATCTGTTTCATGGAGGTATCCTCTCATCACAAACCAGTAAGTCCCATAATGAAGAAAACCACTTTCGCTTTATTTTCTGACCACTTATATATTTTCGATGCTGTTCCAGTTAGCAAAATTTGTCATTCGGCTTTATTGTTTATTGAATGGCTTGACTTAGGCCTATGGAATATTCCAACACTTTGCACATTTTGTAATTGTTATTATTTAAAGCAATAACATTTTGTAAATGTTTTCCATTTATTGTTTTGTATATTTTCTTTTCGGGGGCGGTAGGAATAAAAATTGCAAATTTATACATATGTACGTACGCGCTTTCTAAAAACAATAAAGTAACAAATGTCTTAGGATGCATACATTTTGTCTATTTCTCATATGTACTTTTCCTCTTGTATATGTATCTGTAGTTATATATGTACGTTATATATAATAGCCATATAATTAGTTAGAAGTAAGCATACTATCTGTACAGAGATTCCTCATTTAGTTTCATTGAGTTAAGAGCTGAGAGCTGGGAAAATGGCAATGGCGCATTCAAGCCTCAATCCTTCAAGATGATGCTGAAAACAAGGAATTTCGCAATGAGATACAAGTTTGAGAAGTCACTCTAGCTGTGAAAACAATTTAAAGCCATCCAAAAGTGTGCATAGACCAAAAAGATGCATACTTTTGGACAGCTTTGCATATGATTTCCAGCCCATGGGTATAGTGTATATAGTTACATTCGCTTCTTTAGAGACTTTCGCTTTCTGCGCAGTTTTTTGTATGTGAATTTGCTCGGTGAGATTTTGTAGTCTTCATCGAATTCCTGTTCGAGTTTTATTAGATTTTGCAAGTTCAACTGGCAGTCCTGGCGGCAAACAAAGCGATTAGAAAGAAAAGCGTCCTTGTGGACAATGTGTGTGAAGTGTGTACCAACCTCCAGGTTCTTGAAGTGCCAGCGGGAATCGTCGGGGGATCCCCCATCGCTGGTCAGTTCGCTGAGACAGGTGCGCATAGTTGGCCAGCACTGGCAGCGTTTGTTGGTTATCTCGCAGCCCGGCTCCAAAACAATCGAGTCGCTGTCGGAACAATTATCGTGCTGACTGTAGGTCAGGGCGGTCAGGTGCTGCAAATCTATTCGAAAAACAAGCAAAACAAATACTGTTATTAACACCAAATGGATGAAAAGGGGTACATTTCTGGGGTATTAATCACGCATTAAATGGTTATTAAGCCCACAATGAACTTTGATTCTTAGCGCATTAAAAGAGATTATGGCTTATTTTAAACTATGCGGGGCCTATATAAGCCGACCCAAATCCCATTTTTCGCTCTAGTTTGGCACAATGCTGGCCCGGTTTTGCCTTTTGGTGATATTTCTTCGTCTGCAATTTGGACTGGCCAAGGTTTGTTGTATTTGCCCCGCATAATATGTTAAATAGAAACTCTACCCGCCAGAACAACTATGACATTGCAATCAAGTCACTGAGCTGCAAAATTATAGCCAAGACATATGTCAACAACTTTGATTGTATACTTGTGCGACAAAGGACGGCCGTGGTAGCGGTCAAATTTAGTTTAAATCAAACCATCGAGCACTTCGACGTACACGGCACATTTGACTTTCTGAAAAAGGATAAAAACCGCATGAATATAGCCGACATGAAGATGGACGGATGCAAGTACCTGGGATCGATGTACCAAAACAACATCGTTGGCAAATTGTTCAAAAGGCTCAAGTCCGTCAGCAATTTGCCAGCCAACTGTCCTGTTTTGAAGGTTAGTGAAATATACATCCTTAATCGCTCTTTGTGCATTTCCCATTCAAATTTGGAAAGCGCTTAGAACAATCTAGCAATTCAGTGGTTATTCATTATTACAATTGAGGGCTTCAGCTCTTATCAAAACATATTTCGATGACAACAAGCCAGGAAACCAATTTAATGAAATAGAACTTGCACTTATTTTTCGAGCTGGCCAAACTTTGCCCCTGCACAGCAGGAGGAAGACAAACATTTTCCCTTGAGACACAACTTTCAATAAATAAAAGCAAATATTTGTCAACATTTCGTGTTTTCGCACTATCGTCGAACGAAACTATTTAGAACCGAACAGCATTTTGCAGTTATTTCATTTACCATTTACCATTTACCATTTTTCATTTCCCTTGCAAATTGCCCCGCAACCGGGCGCATTAATTCCCCAAACACGATTATACACAAAACCCGAATTGATGCCATCAAATTACGCAGGGAAAGCTGTACGAGATCCGCAACTACACATTCATTTCGGACGAATTCCCGCCAGGAGCTCCGCAGGCCAAATGGCAAGTGCGACTGAAAATGCTGAAGAGCTCCGAACTGGTGGCGGACGTATCAATTGAGGGCGCTGTGGTCTATAATACGTGATGTTGATGCATAATGGATGCGACTAAATGCGAATTCTCCACAACCATAACCGCTTGCTGGTGCTCCGCCCAGCCCAATTTATTATTTTTGCAAGCGCCAAATCACATTGGACAAAAATTCACAGACTAATCGGTTTTGCTATTTTCTGCCAAGCTAACATAAGCTTAATGCCGCTGTACTATATTTAAATGAAGCTAAATTTCAAATGATTACAAAGATACAAGTACTTTTATTTGTACCCTTACTATTTGGCACTCGATTGGCATACCCTCTTATACCTCACGTTTGCAGTGTATACATAGAACTAAGGACTCACCCATGCACACGCCCAATCCGCTGCTAATGGGCAGCTTGGTCACACACTGCAAGGGCGGCTCACATTGACCGGAAAATCCGCCCGGACCGCCGCAGGATTCGCCCAAGGTTTTGGCGCATATGCGGCAGCATCTGCGAATAGTGGAGGTATATGACATATAGTGTAGATGGATGTGGGCATAGTGCTCGCAATGGACTATGGATGGAAGGAGTCCCAGTGGTAATTGATTAGATTCCGTCTTCGATTCGATAAGCGTTAACAATTAGTTAACACTCTGGGTACTGGGAGTGGGATGAGGATGAGCAGGCATCTGTGCCTGATGTGAATTCCAATCAGGACATTACGTGACTCCCGATGCGAAATGGGTTGGAGTTTGGACGAGACACTCTGATGTCTGACGCTCTTAATTATATCAATGCCAATTGTTAAGATCGTGGTGAGCTTATAAATTTGCGACCATTTCATGCTTAGTTAAGTAATAGTTGGTATAAAATGTCACACCTCTCGGCGAAATCATTAAGCTAAACTATTTCAATAAAATAATAAAATTACGTGCGTATATTTATGTCGAATAAAGATATAGTGCTGTTATTGGGTGTTTTTACTACAAAAATAGGTTGCTTCAATATTTAAATCATGTGAGCTTAACACTTGTCTAATTTGCGAGTATGCGTAAAATAAGAACGTTGATAGTCCTGTGGGTAATCATCAAAGCTTTAGAATTACGCGCTGTTAACTTGTTTTCTATTGTTTTGACCGCCATTGTCCATCCAACGATAATATAATGATAACAGCCCGTTTGTGTGATAGGCAAACACAACAACAAAGCTTTGTGCACTAAACCTAATTTGGAGTTTGCCTATTTATTTTGAGAACTAGCATATTGGAAATTTACAATCCGAAATTTTAAATTGATCTAATTGGTTTGATGACAGCACGATTTGGAAAAAATGTTACAAAATGGGGACACATATAAATAATTAAATCATAGAATGATTTTAAATTTTAAATTACTAGCTATGGAAAATTGTATTTCATTATACCAAAAGTCACAAGTTTACCAGATTACCAGAACAAAGTGAAAGTAGAATGGAGCCAGAATGGAGCTTACATGCAAAATGGATGGATGTGCAGGCCGGAAAATATCGTTTTAATTGGAGCACTGGGAGCGGGACTTACTTGCAGGGATCCCAAAGCATAAGTCCCTTTCCGGGGCAGTCGGGCGAGCGGATCACGTCGCACTCCTTCGGATTGCAGTAGCATTTGAGCCCATTCACCACGTGGTTGCTGCCGCCAGATGCCGCCATAACCAGGAGCAGATAGCACCACAAGTAGATGAGCAGCGCGCTCACGTTCAGGCGGCCAAAATAACTTCCGTTCGAGCGCATCCTAAGCGGAAGCTGGGCGCTGTTGTGCTGCTGTTTGCCAGCGACCCCCCTCTGCCGCTCCCCCTGGGGCGTCCTTGTGCGTACATCCTGCTCCAGGACCACGCCCCTCCAGCCCACGCCTCTGGCACTTCCGCCCATTTATAGGCAATTTTTATTGCGCCCTGCTGGCTCTACGGTGCGTTTGCGTTCCACTGCCTCCAATGATGATGATGTCGCTGATGATGAGGATGCCTGGCAAGGATTCTGGTCCTGGATTCGACTGCGGGTCCGGCGCAGGCAATTTGCATGTTGACTGCAAAGAGCAAGAGCGTTCTTGGATGATTAAAATGCCATAAACTGCGCACAGGACCTCTGTGCCCAATCCCCAAATAGCTCCAGAATTGGCGTTTTACAATTGAAAATTTGCGGAAATCGCTTGCCGGTCTAATTTCATTAAATTTTCATTGACGGCTGCCTACTTTTCGACGGTCATAAATTTGTGAAATGGTTCCGCAATGTGTTTCGGTAAATTGAAATATCCTAAAATGGTGACACTTTATGCGCTAATCAAATTATGCATTAATAAGGACAAATTTTCAACTCTGATAAGCAACATTTCGTTTTAAACACCATTCATAAATTCCATTTGCTTTCTTTAATATTAGGGAATTAGGGAATTTTTCCGCTAGGAGTAGGTAAAGTTAAAGCTTTCGAGCGCTAGAATAAATTAAATAATGAAGTGCATAATTCTCTGCCAATTTCGTGTTGGCCCATAAATTAGTAATAAGTGGCTTACAAAACTTTCAGATGCAATAAAGCGAAATAACGTTGAAAACGTGGAGTGCAGTTTCGACAGACACAATGTCAATGTATAAAAAAGCGTATATAACGCCAAACTTTTAGGGGCATTGAAACATTAGTTCGCTTTTAAATAAAAAACTTTATCCTTTTTTGCCTACGGATATAATTGAATTGCACCTTATGGCGGCGAGAGAGTCCTGATTGAAAATTCATTGCATTGTAACTCATTTAAATTATCACGAGTTCGCAGAAGCAAATTCCAGTTAAACAAAACCAATTGACTTTCACATAAAAACTAAATTTTAGCAATAATTTAGATTGGTGATTTCAAGCGACAGTAGTGCCAGAAAAACTTTGTTAATCAAAAAATATGTAAAGGTCAAATGCTTTTTAATTGACTATGAAAAGTTTCACAGAAACTTAATCAGATTCAAATTAAAAAGTAATTTTTGAAAGCAAGCTCCACGCATTCGTCCATCAGTTTGGAAAAGTTTCCCCAGCCGTGGCTCCCAATTAAAGTTTTCCCATTCAACTTGATGACACCATCGACATTTTTTTAATCAATGTCTGCTCAAGCTGGCTTCAAATCGCACTTCGGCGACTTCGCTGGCTTAATTAACCAAAACGTGGTCAGGGCCAAAATCAGAGCCTGGAAAATGAACTGCTCCCCATACACCACAAAAAAAGGAAAAATACAACGAAACAGAAAACAGAACTTTGGAAATTAATTTCAACGAATTCCCAAAAAGTATGCCACATGCCAAAAAGTTGTTGAAAATTCAACCCAGAAAGGGACGGAACAACGCGTTTGCGAAAGAGACAGAATGCGGGGAAATCGAATTTGTTGGAACACATGCCCAACTAATTTGTATTTAAACGTTTGATGTGCTGCGACTACTCCCACTTCAGGCCTACAATATATATTATTTTCGGAATTGTTGCTCGCTTTATGTGCTGGGAAATCAATGGGAAAATAATAAGCTTTCGGTGATGGCAACTTGGTTCTTGATCGCTGTTTTGTGTATTTTCTCTACTTTTCGGACGAGTATTGCTTTCACTTTGACTTGGCCGAAAGGACACTCGACGTTATTGCCTCGGCTGTTGTTTTTCCAGTTGCCTGTCAACCACTTTCAATTCGGCATTCAATTGTTGTTGTGTTTCTTTTGGCAATGCCACTGACACAGTCACAAATCCTGCTCACAAACACACTGCACACACACAGGAGCACACCTCGTTACACCTAACGACAGACGCTTAGGACTAGCACTCGTTATACTATATGCGCTATAGTAGTGCCGTGGTCCTTGTTGTTGTCGCTATCCTGACGATAAACTTTCGGTTCCGACGCCTCCCAATGAATTTTTCATGCGCTTTTGTCTGCCGCACGCGGCCATTTAAGGCAAGAGACTGAACTAGCCTGCTGCCGCCGTCGCTGCACGGACCATTTGCCAGTTAGAACGGACATGTATCGCTCCGACTTCGGGATATTCCAGTGTTTTTGTTCTTGTTTCTGCTGCCCCACGGAGGAAAATCCCACTATTTCCTCTCACCGCGCAGGCGCTTTCGCCGTTGAGCCTGGAAGGCAGAGTCATCAGACACAATACGCGAAGGACCTCGCAGTCCTTCTGAAATTCGGGTTCACACGGTGGCTGTTTTCGGAATAATGCCAGTGAGAGTTTGAAGAAATTTCCCATTTTTATTTGTAACTGAAATCCTGGGCTCAGTCGCTCTTCAACTTAGAAATTCAAATTTAGTTACTTTACATATGTTTAGTTAGTTCTTTTAAGTTCTATTAATTTCTGGTGACCATATTATTCGCAGGTAATTTGATCATTTATTTGTTTTATATTTTTAGCTGCTTTATTATTTTATGTCTAGATTTGTTACACTTAACACATTGTTCTAACAGCCCTTTAACAAGGATTGAATAAAGAGAATTTCTGTTTAAATAGTTGAGTACCGAATGTTAGAAACCCCTTTTTTTAATCACAACTTCCGCTGCCGCATAAACACCGCGTTAGCGAAGAGCTCTTGATGATGATGGCGCGACGAGAGCAAACAGCGGATGCAGAAACATCCTTCAAAATATAAAGTCATTTTTGTTTATTATAATTACAAATAAAGAGCAGGATGCAGGGGCTTAAGACTAAGCTGATTTCGGGAAGGGCGTAGCCGAGATTCTCTGACAGGGCCTATCGCGAAAGCGGGCTAATGGCCAATTTAAAAGTATGAAAGTCAGGTCGTTTGTCTTGTGATTATTTTGTATACGTATTTTTTAAGCTGCTCGCAGTTTAGGCCGCAACTTTGATGATGAGACAGCCAGACAGCCGCAGCCGTAGCCGTGTCAGCTGCTAATAAGCATCGCTCTAAGCAATTTGCCTCCAATAAAAGCCACACACCGCACGGGCCTATCGAGCAAAGTCCGCGTCCCTGCCATTTCTGCCCCTTCTGGTAAAAAGCAGGGCAAAAAACTTGCAACTTTTCCAATTAGCGTAAAACAGACGTTTGAGTCCAAAAGTACACGAGAGAGTTCAAGTCCGAGCTCCGGAGATGTGGGTGCCCACGTACGCCCACCCCTCCAGAATTTCCACCGAAGATGAGTCCGATGCCACAGTAAATGTTGCGTAAAACAACTGCGGACCCGGCTGCCGAATATACCCAACCCCGAAAACCCCACTGAGCATCCACCCAACCCCCCGACTTACAATTGAGCAAAAGAGCAATCGGGAATTATGAGCGGACAAACTTTTTTTAACAATAATGGAACGTAAAGAAAACACTCAACCCACCAAACGTAAAAAACTAAAAAAACCCAACCGAAAATATGAAAATATCGGTGCAGTGTGGGAAAAAGTTGGTAATCAATGCGGTTTTCCAGTGGGAGTCAAAACATCCAGTTAAAATGAAAAAATTATAGTTTTTAAACAACATGTTGACTGCCCATAAAAAGTTGCTCTTATAATTTATAAATGCAATGGAGTTTATATAAAGAAAATCCAAATAGCAGCAAACAAGAATATATTGTAAAATAATATTTTATCAAAGCATTATTTGCATAAATAGTTTCAGATACAATTAAATATTATTCAATTTGGGGTTCGCCAGGCAGGGAGTTTTACTCCTGAATTAATATTGATAATAATTAGATTATTAGAACTTAGAATTTAGTCACTATCTTTCGATTTAAATGCAGCTGTTTAGTAGTGTATCTAAAGCAAGCTGAGCATCAATTGAAATGCAATAGTACGTCATTTAATTTATGACGGGTTTTCCCAGTGCGGTTCGATGGCCAGGCAAAAATATGGAAAACTTATGCGCTCAACTTGATATGCTGCAAAAAGTAAATGTGCAACAATGGTGCCTGGGTGGTAGCAGCAGCTTAAATTGTAAGTGCCCCACCCCGAGGAATGCAGCATTTCGGCTATTAATTCTTGAACAATTGCCAGAGGCAAAAGTTTGCTTGAATGGTCGGGAAAAAAAGCACCAAGACGGGAAGAGGAAAAGAGACTTCCCGCAGTCGGTGCACACATTTATTTTCAATGTTTCATTACTTAACAACTTTTTGATGACAGTTTTATTGGCATTTAAACAAAAATTGAAGTGTTCTTCTCAGCCATACATATATTCCACAATTTTTGTTCTCTTTTTTAAGTTTTTTCTTTTCTGAGTACGTCATAAAACATTAAACACGAGAAAAACGCACACAAAAAGTTTTCTACGATTGGAGAGGCTGCGGCTGGAAAATGAAACCATCAAGCCCGGGCGGAAAATGGCGATGGAAAAGCAGATTTTCATGTTTCCATCGACGCTGGGTGGCTTGTAATCTGCATTATATTGAGGTATTTAAATTCTGTTAGAAGCAACACGCCCTGCAAAAGTTGGATCAACTTTGAAGCCCAAACACAAAATGTGAATCAAATAATGTTGCACAGCCTGAGTATGCTTCAGAAATAACTAATTGCTAACTTCAAGAGGGAGAGATAAAATCAAGGCAAGTAAAAGATTTCAATAGGAGAAATAAATTGAGATACTCTGTTGAAGAACAGAACAATCCGTCCTCATTTGTAAGCTCTACTTTTCTATTGATTTAATGATTCCTACTTCAAACACATCAACAAACTTTTAACTCTAAATGTTAAATGTATTCTACTCACGTAATAAAATAATTGTAGTTGGTAAGACAGCTAGTACTTTTGTATTCCAAATAAATTGTTTAGCCAATGCAAATCTGTAATTAGGTATTAATATTGTAATGTTTTAATATTAGGTTTGGAAATACCTATTCCTTTTAGGATAAACATATTTTAAAGCGAATATATTAATGTATGTTTTTCGATATATACATTTTGTATAAATTTAACCTTTTATTTTTGATTGTGCGCTAATCAACGTTGATCCTCCATTCGCTCGTATCGTCTTCGCGACCAGCCAATTAACCATTATTTCGTAAAAAAAATGGAATTTGAATTACAAATTAATGCAAGCCAATCCTGGCTGAGGGAAAAATAAAAACCAAATTTACGCAACGCCCACACAATTTATTTTGAGCAATTTTTTAAGGGATTTCTTCTGGGTAATTTGCGTGTTTTTTTCGCCGCTTGGATTTACTGTCCTCGGATTTGAGGGTTAGGAGTCTGCGGATTGGGGTGCAAAATGTCCGCAACGGCCGAGTAATTTGCCACTCGTCCATTTTAAATTACATTAGTTGAGTCGCGCACAAGAAGTAGGGAGTTTTGGAGGGGTAGAGTTCTGGTCAAATGCATATTTTTCGTTTCAATTACTTTCGGGGAGAGAGAAACGCTGAGGGCGGCGGATTGGCGCACTAGCGGATATTTTTACCCCCAGACAACCGCATTTTCCTTAATGAAATTTGCATATAAATTGCAGGACCCAAAGTTGGAAGTTGAAGGTTGATTTCGATTATTTGATGGGCGACTTTCATGGAGTTCAGCGCAACGCGAGCTCGCCGTCATCATCCATTGTTCCATCTTGTTTTTTACCCGTCGTCGTCTGTTGTTGGCTTCCTTCATTCCGCATGGGATTTATTCTTTACTTTTTAGGTTGTCAAAATGTCGACTTGTTTATCTTTTACATGACGCAACACTGTGGCTTCGCTATCATCATCATCATCATCATCATCATCGTCGTCGCCGCTCCGTTGCAATGTCATACGGATCCGGAGCGTTGTGGCATGCCGCACGCCAAGTGGAGCGCACTGCTGCAAAAGTATGCAGCTGCATTTTGGCCATCAACCGCCCTCCCCCCGCAAAACCACGCCCCTTTAACCGCCCCAACAGCCACGCCCCTTGTCGCATCACCAAGCCCTGGAAAATGAGTGAACTAAAGCTGGCTGGTTGAGTGGCATTTAATGCACAGCTAGGACACAAAGTCGAGCAGGAGTTGCCTTCAACCGCAGAAATGACAGCACACGCGGAATTTGGCTTTTGCACGTGGCCTCGAATGCCAACTTTAGACAGGATATCCGCCTTCCCCTTCCGATATAATTATGATCTCCGGATTTAGAAAAGCTATTATGTTCAATAAAATGAGGAACTCAACTTATTTTAAATGCATTGCTTTTGGACATATGGTGGAAGGCAGAACGATGTGTGAAATGCAACTTTATCATGACAGGATTGATGACAACTGTATCTCACAAACGTATAATTTTGTTTGTCAAAAGCAAGTGTGCATTTGTAAGCATGGAGTTCTGAGTAGTCGGTTGGGAATAAATGGGCTAATTTATTATTGCGTCCGGCGAGATTTTCAGAAGACTATGAATCACACACACTATGATGCACACTTTCATAAAAAATATATAAAAGCGAAACCAGCTAATTCACATGACTTGCTAATGCACACCAAGACTTGCCGAAATGTGAGCAAATTACAAAAAGACAGCATGCCACAAACTTCGCCTAAATGCAAAAACTAAGCCAAAAATCCGCTTATACTCGCTGTAAGGAACTGCTGAGAATGTTATTTTCTATCGCATAGAACACAACCATCGAGGCCATTTTAAATCAAGATTATGTGGCGCTTTAAGGCCAAATAACACGCTCGCCTGCCCGAAAATCCTTTTGTGTCGACCATCAAACGCAGGTGTGGCCATCTGGCCATCTGGCCAGGTGGACCAGTCTACCCGAGGAGGCAACACTCTCGCCCAGGTGGCATCAATATTTGCCAAAGGGTTTGGCTCCTGATTCCGCTTTTCCGCCTGCTGCTGATGTTTCCGTCGCCTGCGGCACTCCCCGTAATATGTAATGTGTAATATAGATGCCATCCCCCATGCCATCCGCTCCTTTGTCAACTATGTCATATTTCATTTCGCACAAGTCTTAATACCTTAGATATGCAAACACACACGGAGCAGCCACATTGGAGAGTCGGCCAGGCCGGAGCACTTAATGTCGAGCCCGTTCCGTTGATTTTGCGAGCACATGCAGCCAAAAGCCCACATCCAACATCCACATGCCCACCCCCTGCATCCGTCC